AAAAGAAGTGTGTGAAGAAAGTACAAAGGAAAGACGTATCGTCTAAAGTACAGGTGACGTTAGCGCATGAGGATACTACATTAAATTTGAATTTTGAGAAAAATGAACAGTACTTAATTAGGACTTGAACTTCGGCGTATTGAAAAATTTTTTTGGTAACTTATGGTAATGTGCGTATTAATGCTATAATATAACGGAAATACTGATGTGCTTACTTTGTAATTTTTGGACAACTTGTACTGCTTCAGAAGTGATATTTTATAAATTCATTAACCACTATATTGAATTCATTAGTGACTCTATATAGAGTCACTAATGAATTCAGCAGAGTGGCTAATGATTCAATCTTTTCATTAAAACCTTTAGTTTTCTTAACTCCATATTTCCCCTACGCTTCAAAGCCCACGCTCTCATGATGATTTAACACACCATGAGATACACAGCAATAAAACACTCGAAGCAGATTGGCGGAGTGGGTGCATCATTATCTAAGATGCAGTTTGATCGATTTTGTTGAAGCTGTGGTGTATTTGCAGTGATCGATCAGCAGTTGATTCAATGAACTACCGCATTTTTTTTAGATTATTTTTAAATAGTACTCGAGTCGCAGTGATCCCTCTCAATTAGACAACTCTCTGATATGCCACTTTGCTCTGTCTCTTCAGTGAACGTATTAGAGAGATTCTGCAAGTTTCTTACCTTGTCCGGAATAGAACACCAAAAAAACAATAAATAGGACAATCGCCGAAACTCCATATAAAAAGTACTCCTTGTAAACTTTGAATGCAACTCTTCCAATTTCTCGTTCTTCCTTCTCCAGTTTTAACGTCTCCGTTCCCTCCTTTTCATTGGAAACACACCACACATCTTGACCTCCCGCCTTGTTCCCATCAGGCACTCTGTTTCTTTGAAGCAAATCGAATTCAGCCAATGAATGACCGGTTTTGAATTCTTCGATTTTTCCACCTGCCAGGTGAATGATATGATCCGCTTCCTGGTAATATCGGGTATCGTGCGTGGTCAAAAGAACTATCTTACTGGATAATAGTCCTCGGATACAATTCCTGTAAAATATTTTGGTAATCCATCAACTTTCAATTGGAATATATAGGGCTGGTCAACCACAGGCTTATCAAACGAGGACGCGAGTTGATGAGAGTTCCAACTCTCGTTCGCGTTTGACCGCCAACTCTCATGGACTCTCATCAACTTTGAGATGGTTCACATTTTGATGAGTTTTGACGAGGGTGTTCGCTACGCCCTCAGTAATACCCAGGCAACTCACATCAACTCTCATGCAACTCTTGTTATCTTTTCACCGGGGTATTAGAGTTGAGAAAACTCCCATACAAACTCTCGCTCCTCAACTCTGATTTTCGTTTGACTGGAGCTTTACTCTGGATCGATGGCACTATAGCAGTCGCAGCAGCCGCCAGTGATCGCGCTGGAGTTTTGAACCTTCTCTATTTAATCCGAGCGGCAATAGTCAAAATGACGCTGTACTTATTATGTCTGATAAAGTACTCAAGGGTATCAGTGGAAACAAATACATTTGCACGGGGTACCATGCTAATACTTTTTGAGACTTTTTTGCTGATGTTGTCTATTTGAACTACGCAAAGTTTGCTAGATTTTCCACACTCGGACCGCAGACGGAAACATTTACCCCAGTATAGGTCCTTTGCTTGCCCCCGTAGTGAAGCATGATTTTCAGATGATCATGAATCCGAATACTGGGGTAAATGCTCCAGTAGTTAAATAGTTCAAAAATTCGTGTCACTAATGGTGGTACCATTCCCCAATTAACCAAAATTTTAATCTCAACAAGTCTAGACAAAATTCCATCATATGATGAAAGAGCATCACAAAATTAGTAATATTCCAAAGTTTCGTTGGGAAATGTTGTAAAATGCGGATAATATAGCCTTGCGAAATTTGGAATTTTCAGTCATTTTAGATTACAAACGGGAAATGGTTACCACTTTTCCAAAATTTTGATCTTAACTAGCCCAAACAAAAATTTCATCACAGCTTGAAAGAGCATCACAAAATTAGTAATGTTCCAAAGTTTCGTTGCAAAATGTTGTAAAATGCGGATAATATAGCCTTGCGAAGTTTGTAATTTTCAGTCATTTTGTATTACGCACAGAAGTGGTAACCATTTCCCGTTTGTAATGCAAAATGACTGAAAATTGCAAACTTCGCAAGGCTATATTATCCGCATTTTACAACATTTCGCAACGAAACTTTGGAATATTACTAATTTTGTGATGCTCTTTCAAGCTGTGATGAAATTGTTGTCTAGACGTATTGAGTTAAAATTTTTGATTAATTGGGGAATGGCCATTAATAAACCTTTGATTCAATCATATCTGACACTGGAGTCTGGACAGTAATATAAATAATAATAATATATCTCATTGAAAGATACTAACCGAAAGACATTCTCGGCGACATTTACATCTAAGGAGCTGAGTGGATCATCCAGTAAATATATATCGGCCTGTGAGTATGTTGCACGTGCCAAAGCGATACGTGTCCGCTGACCACCGCTTACTGTTGCACCATGTTCTCCGATAAGAGCTAAGTCGTTTTGAGGGAATGTTTTAAAATCCTTTTCCAGTTGACAAGCTGTGATCACTTCAGCATACAATTTTTCATTGTAAGGCAAGCCAAATAATATATTCTCACGGATAGTCCCAGAGAAAACCCAAGGGGTATCCGAAACATAAGCGAGAGTTCCCGAGTACTTGACGAAGCCATTTGTTACCAGGAGTTCTCCACCAAGAACGGTTGACAATAGCGACGACTTACCGCTGCCTACCGGACCGCAGACTAACACCAATCCCGGAGTAGCTACGTTAAATGTGATGTCCTTCAATATTTCCGTGCAATTTGACTCGGGAGACTGGCGTGAAACTCGTGAAGGAAGTCTGCAGGTTACCTCGTGTAAGCTAAGATATGGTGGGTCGTGCTGACGAGGTTTGTTGGTTACTTCATGTAATGCTTTATTTTGCAAGTGTTTTTGTTCTTCTATAGATGTGTAGGTTTCAGTGCATACGAGAGGAGTTTTCACAGAGACTTTTTTGGCTGTATCAGGAATGTTTTTAATAATATTGATTTGAACAGAGCGTTTCGAATCAAGTCCAAAATTCGAAGAATCATTCCGTTGCAGAAATGATTCCATGCGTTGAAAGGCCGCGCGGACATTTGTAATGTAACTGATAGAAGTTGGCAAACACAGGCATAGTTTTTCGCTCAGTTCACGAAATAAGGCGATCATCGCGAAAAAATTTAGGTTTGGAATCTTTTCCTTTTGTGTGAGAGCTAAGACAAACACTGTAATGAAAGTGCCTAAGTGTTGTCCACATGATATAAACGAATAGGATGTCAGCATTATTATCCAACGCTTGGCTTTTGATACAATCTCTTGCCTAAAACGAAAAAGAAAAAGGTTTTATTTTCGTCTCCAGCTCTGCGGTAACTTTGCCTGCGGCTCAATTAACTGTGCTCCAGTGTTAAAAGTGCAGCAGTACAGTTTGGTATGGTCAAACTAGAACACCTATGTCTACATGCAACGAAGTCGTAACTACAATGTTCAACATTATAAGATCAAGTTTAATGAAGGGAATTCGAAATAGCAATATATATTTTTTATTTTCTCATTTGAAAGAACTTTTAAGACTATAAATAATACTCTTTTACCGTTTTTTCATATCTTGCTTACTTCCAGGGCCGTTGCGAAGGGGTATGGATTGGACGGGGGTGTCGAAGGTCAAATTGCCGAGTGACGCTAGTTGAATTTGCCGAGTTTTTCAAAAGTTTCTAAAGTTTAGATATAGGTAATGAGAACCATATTGGTGTGCTAGTAATAAGGGACACCAATATGGCTCTTGTTTTGAAATGGACGCTTGTTCGCGGCGTTGCTACAAAGCAATCAGGTTCAATAAAATATGAACAAACATATATAAGGTCATACAATCGTCTAAGAACAAACATATATAAAGTCATACAATTGTCAATCGAAGCATACAATTTCACAATAACTGGAACCACAGCTCAATATGAACCTGCCCTAATAACGGCACACTATTTTATTTTCGTGCGTTTGTTTTGAAATAGGAGCTAGGAGTATTATTTTAATTTATTTATATTAAACATATAAAGCTGAAAAAAAATTAAATTTAACGTAGCGGTTTATATTGTGTTTTAAATAAGTCCTAAATCGAGACTGACGGCCCGTATTCTAAAAGCTCACTCACACTCAATGAGTGGAAGTTCAATATGAGCTTCTCTTGAGTGTCAATGCTGTTTTTGAATAGCTGGAGGGTGAGTAGTCACATAGTAAGGTATGACACTGGCCCTCTAGCTATTCAAAAACAGCAATGGGGACTCGAGAGAAGCTCAGATTGAACCTCCACTTATTGAGTGTGAGTGTGAGTGAGCTTTTAGAATACGGACGTATGTCTATGTGCATGCAGACGGTAACGGTTTTGAGCGTTTTTGCAGCGGGGTTTTCAAATTTAGCGTTTAGGCGCCTTGTTCACATTGATCATTTTTCTCGCAACATTTTTTGACAAAGCACTAGTTCAGTAGTCTTCGTTTCCAAATTCAATCACGGTATTTCATTTTCGCCTTCGATCCACTTCCCTATTCACACGATAACTGAACCAAACGTTTAAGACATAGAAAACGAATCTTTGGCATCGTGTCCACTATTTGAAACGTTTTTGCTTCCTGACGTCGTTTTCATACGTCTTCATGTAAACACAACGTGAAAATGGTACTTTCAGTTTCAGTTTCAGAAACGCATTACAACCAAAAACGCTCGGAAACGTTACCGTGTGTGCATAGCTTGAGTAACGAGTGTCGCGCGCATCTCCGCAAAGTCAGCAAAGTTATCCGAGTATCTGCATGTGATTGCATGCATTGATATTTTGTTTCAATTTTTTCATGGCAATTTGATGAATTTGACCTTTTTTATCTCCAGGCGCCGAATAGACAATTTATAATTTTTTTGTATTTCGAGCAGTCTTAAAACACTCTTAGTGGGTGGTGGATAGTGGGCTTTTGTACGACCCGATTTTCCAAGCGTTCAAATTTTATGCGTCAAAAAACGAGTAAAACGGGATATACAACCGATTATACCGATCGCTGTATGCGGTATGTCTTTCAAAACTGTAGGCTGATCAGAGTTAACAGTAATTTTGCTAAAGAACTAAAGAAGACAAGTCCGTTCTTACGGCATGGTTCGTCTTTCTCTAATTCTCTTGGTCTTCTTCTCTTGTGCCTGTGGAGTCTTCTTGAGGATATTGCGCCTCTGACGACTCAAAAATCAAAATACTCTCTTTGGCTTTGACTGCGCTTTGCAGCCTCAAACGGATTAACCGTACCCGTCTTTGTGTGCTACTCGCACAGTCGCACTCGCTTTCCCTTATGGCAAGTTTGATCGTGCCTCTTACGGCAATCGTCGTCAAAAATCGAATTAGATTCAAGACACTGAAGTTTTATTCCGGCTGTTTTATTTGTGTTTTGAACAGCGCATAATTGATAAAGAGCCTTCACTATAAGAGCAATCGAGCGAAGAACATGCCCGAGGATTAGGAACTGTTGATGTGTTAGTCGGAAAACATGGGTTTCACATTTCAGCCTCCCGTCGATTTTCGACAAATAAAAGACTAATACTATTACATTACTAGATATACATTTAGATGGTTTTGGCATAAGGCCACACAAACCATTATTTTAAATCCAAAATTTATCGCTTTAACTAACGCCTTCGTTCTCAACTTTTACAATTTGCTAAATGCCGATTTCGCGATTTGCCGAACCGTAACGAAGCAATTTGCCGACTGGGCCGACTTGCGAAAATTATTGGGGGGGGGTGAAGCACCCCCCCACACCCCCCCGCTCGCGACGGCCCTGC